CTCTTCAAGCATCCATCTGATATACAGCTGGTCAGGTGAATGTAAAGCAGAGCTGGTGTTTGCATAATATCAATTTGAACGGTGTCACTCTTGATTTTATTATGAAATTTTTCATCTTAAGTTCTCTTCGTTTTTTTCAGTTTTTTATGTCTGTTTTGACTCGTCTAAGTATTTAGTGACTTGTCCTGCGAAACATTATCTCCAAAATTTTTCTTTATATTTATATACTATAAATATTTATATACTTTTATATTTATATACTTTTCTTTATATTTATATACTTATAAGTATAGTATTTAAATACTATACTTACGAGTTTCGGTACTGCGATAGTACTTCTCTCTGCTTCTCTTATGTTAAAATTGAAACAGGTTTGTTCAGACCCCCTTTATTCAGTGGGTTCCGCTTTTGCTCTCATATTTAAATAAGCACTGAAACTGCGTCAGATGGAAGATAGTATCACAATACCACAGGTCGATCAGTTTTGCAGTACACTCACTATGGCTCCCATGTTGTTTTCATACCTGGATTGTCTGCTTTATAAATTAATTTTAAAATAAACAATTAATTAAATTATTAAAAACAAAATAGTGATAAAAATTCAAGTCTTGCATCACTAATTGCATTTAAGGTTATTTGTTTTTTATTCAAATTCGTATTTTTTAATTGGCTTCAAATGGGTTTTTTTTTTTGAAGCTTAATCACCTCAATCAATACACACAAAAAAAATAAGTTTTATTAAATTAAAATCTAAATTAAGTTATTCATTGAATTTTTCTCAGGTTATCGAAATAAAAAAAAGAAAAGTCAACCAAAGAGTAACTCTTGATCCATTTCATTTAAAGTGGTTTTTTTTCCAATACAAATTGTATATAGCATGGAATTCCATTCTATCGAATTGAGTATTTCAGAAAGAGTGTATGTTGGAAATAAAAAATTGATTTCTTCTTGAATGAGAAAAAAATTAATTATTTTTATTTTATTTACCACTCCTAACAATTGAATTTTTCATTCAATTCCATTTATTTTTTACTAAAGAATTTAAAGAATTTTTTATAAAATGTTAAAATGTATTTTTTAATTTTTATGAATGGTGCTATTTTTAGAACAAAATACAGTTGATGACGATATTAGGAAAAAAATTTCTACAAAAATCTTCAACAGCTTCATTATTTGTCTACCTTGTTCGGTTAGAGGGTAAATTGTTTGTCTTATGAATGTAAAGTGTCTCGATAAATAAAACATCAGTTAAAACTATGACTTCCAAATAAGCATAGCAATGAACCGATTGAATATTAAACTTATTTAATATATTAAGCAATTTCAAAAGAAAACTTTGGTAACTGATGAGTTGGCGGTCACACTTCCACAAGGAACATAAACCCTCTTCTTTTTGTTGCAGTTTATTAAGTACACACTTCTTACGTAAAGTTGACAAAATAATTTTTGCTAAAAACAATATGTTTTGTTTAGAACAAAGAAAAGTCGTCCACATTTTCAGTATCTATCTCAGCTCAAATTTTTCAATAATAATTCTTGATTTTCTAGTTTATTTATTTACCAGTTATTTTTGCAATTAAATTATGAATACTACAACCATACTCTTTAAACTAGGTTTTTAAAAACAATCTACTGCATTATTTGATTTACTTTCATTTATATATGTATTGAAATAATGAAATATTGCATACATTTAGGATAAGCCAAAAAAGAAATTGAAAGAAGCACTAATAATAATAGTCGAATTCAATGGTTAAATAAGTAATATTTTTCGATAGCATGGAATTTATTGCTTTTATAAAAATTTCGGAAAGCTTGCAGTCGCGGAAATATAAAGCGCTAAATTAACTTCTACGAGTTTCGTAATGTGATGACTTAGAAGAGCGTGGAAGTGGAAAATAATTTTTTTTTCAACGAAATAGACTACTTATCAGTGTCTAAAAGATGATAAGAGAAGCTGCAAACACTACTTTTGCGCTTGGAAAATTAAAAAATTTTTGTGATTTCGATACTATAAATAGTCAAAAACGTTCTTTTGAGAAGTTTTTGGGTCGATAACTCTAACAGGGGGAAGATATGTAAACTGAATATGTTTCTAATAGAGATTTTGTAACCTGCTTGTGTTTATAAAATTTCAGCTGTTTATCTGAAAGGGTATTGAAGTTTTCTAAAATGACAAATGAGTCCGAAGATAAAGTCCAAAAAATTTTTAATCAATACTTAACCTCTGAACATTAATGTAATATTTTTTATTTCCATATAAGACCAATAAGTATTTAAAGAAATTTAAGGAAGTTCAAATTCATAAAACTAACAATTTTCCATCTTCTTTTATAAATGCGTTTAACTTACTTTAACCCTACTTTAAGTTAATAAATTACTAAACATAAACATTAGTAACTACTCGAAGTACAAACTTTTACCAGATAATCCACATAATACGAATTTATTTTACATAAAACTGCACTTAAGTATTTGGATACTTAATGGAAAATTATGGTGAGAAAAAAAAATTTAGTAATAACTCTTAAGAAAGAAACTTTAAACACCTTACTTAATAACTTTAAATGTCGCATCAAAAATGCAAAATATTCAAATTTCAAGAGCAACCTTATAACAAGCAAGGATAAATAAAAGAAAAATAACTACAACTTTCTATTATTTTCAAGTTTTTATTATGGTTGTTGCAATATATTTTTTTGCATTTTAGTTTTAAAAGAATTTAAATAAATGGAAATTTTATTATAGGAATAGGTAAGGGTACCTTCATTCCACATTCATATACGAGCATAGCATTAAGATTACTATTACCAATATTCATGTATGCATTTCTGCATAAACTAACATACGTGCATTCATTAAATATCCTTTGTGAATTGGGTGTTTTATAAGCTCTTAATACAATTTTTTTTTCTATTTTTAGTTCGTTTATTTCATAAGATTTTATTTAAATTAAAGAGATAGAGAGAAGAAAAGGGTTCTTTTTTGTGGTAATTTACAGAAAAATTCACATAAACACAAACACATTAAAATATTTAAATTAAAAGTAAATAAAATTAAAATAAAAAATGAAAAAGGATATAAGGTTTTTTTTCAATCAAAGTTGAAAAAAAACAAAAACCGAATTTTACTTATTTTTTTCAAACCAATTTTCAAAAACGAATCAGAATTTATGATGGATTGGAAATTCTTTGACCCACATTATGAGGACCACAAAATTTTTCTCTCTTTTTCATTCTAATTTTATTATTTTAATAAAATTATGTAAACTTATTCTGAATATTAATTGAAGGTAACAAAAATATTTCCTTTTTTTTTTAAATATGCATAAAGGAAAACACAAAAATATTGAATATGTGGGCATAGCAAATGTGTTATTTTTAAAAGAGGAACAAAAAAAATGAATTTATTTGGACTGAAAATTTTTTGGTTTCTAAAAAAAACCGTAATGAATTGACAGAAGATGCTAAGTGTGTTAAATTTTGAGATTCTTCAACAATCAACACTCTTTGGCACTCAAATTTCATGAAAAATCTCTTGCACTGTTAAATCCAAAAAATTTTTTTGCAAATCACTCTTAGCAATTTTAAATTTTACTTTGCACCAACTTCCTTTTAGTACGAGTACAATCATTTTCATACCTACACAGAGAAAAACTAAGGTATTCAAAAAAAGGGACAAGAAAAAAAAAATATTCATATTATTTGCTATCAACCATGCCGGACCGCTTCAAAGAATGCAATTTTCAAGTATACGTTACAAAAAAAAAACAGAAATTGAAGAAAACTAATTTTCATGGTAAATTGTCCATGATAAAATGAAATTAAAATGAAAAGAGAACTAAAAGAAAAACAAGCAATAAATCCGGAATAATAACGGAAAAACGAAAAAAAAAAACATGGAGTCCTTGAAAAAATACAAGTGTAATATGCAAATAAAATTCATTCCGCAAATGTTTATTTTTTCATATAGGCCCACTATAGATATGTAGGACATTATTGAATTTAAAAATTCATCATTATTGTCGGTTAACTAGCTATGATGCGGAAATAAAAAGAAATGCAAATTTATTGAAATTTTCCTTTGAGCGAATATGAAGTAGGCCTACACATACGTATAAAAACGAGAGTAGACGGAATTGAGAACTGCCATATAAATTTATACAAACTCGACTACAGTTTTCTAAAATTTGTTTCTAGTTTTGGGACAATGTTAGTTTGTATAATATTAATTAATGCTTGGCCTAAACATTTCTTCTCTTAATAAGAAGAAGCAGCGATTTTGTAAATAAAAGCTAATTTGTGCCAAATTTGACTAATGTATGTAACTTGAATGTTTTTTCTTCAAAATTTGATTAAATTTATTTAAAATCATGTGACAGAAGAAATATACTAAAACAACCTTATCAAATTTTGACAAAAATATGGATACCTTATTTGACTATGTACAAAATTTCAGTGTCGTAGCTCTGAATATTCTTTGAGTCGTAATTATTATTGAAGTTATATATGGTAGTTATTCGTACTGTCCTAATTCCTTGGTCCTCATGAAATATAGGTCTGAAGAACAAAACACTTGTAGAATTAAAATTCAAAGGTATTTGGATTTAATTAAGGAAAAATCAGATAAAAACCAATTTCGTACTTCCAAATTTAATTAAAATTTTTGATATTAGCACTGTTAATATTAATGAATATTTAGAATGAATACATTTTTTGAATATATTACAATTTTAATAAAAATTGGTACTCGATGCCAATAAAATCTGAAACAATGAAATTATTTTGATTACTACAAAATTCAATTCACCAAACTATTGTTAAAATTTTTTGATAATTTTAAAAGCTATTTTTAAAAATATTTCAAATATTTTAGCTGTGATTAAGCATAGAATTAAATTAAAAAATTTTATATACAATACAGCCATTTTAACTTTATTTTATCCTCGAAATTTTCATATAATAAAATTGTTGATATTTTTTCTTTTTATTATTTTACAGGAATTCATTTAATAGAAAATATCGACGTCATTTAAATGATAACAATAATGGTTATAGTATGAGAAGAAGTTTGGGTGGTAGTGGTGGTGGTCTTAATGGAAATAGTAATATTGGTGTTGGTAATTATGGTAATAGCAGTATTATAAATGATGCAGCTTATTCAATTCAAGCATCAATAAATAATGGTGCTATCAGCGCTAGTAGTAATAGTGAAGGAAGTGGTTATGGTAGTGGTTTTCTATCAACCGGTAGTATAAGTAGTAGTAGTATTGGTAGTGGTGGCGGTAGTATAAGTCCTAGTAATAGTCATATAAATGAAGCAACATCAAAATATCATTCACATATACCATATAATGGTACATATGCAATGAGTGGTATACAAATTGAAATTGGTGAACATCATATTAATAATCATGGTAGATTAGAAATAACATGTTTAGCAACAATACCAGCACATGTTGCTCCTGGTGAACAATATGCCGATTATAAAACACATTCTGTTAAAAGTAAGTACATAATATTATAATATGTACATATATATTTTATGAAAATTTTACAATAATAATAATAATATTAGCATAATTTGGATTATAATGAGAAAATAAATTCCTATTATATGCACACACATAATACATATATAAAAATTGTAAACAGAAGGATATAGGTTTTCAGTAATTTATAAATAAAATTTAAAAGGATTTATAAACGAATATTTGAACAGGAAATTGTTGGGTAAAATTTTATGTACGGTGATGATAATTACATGTATGGTTTATTAAATCAGGGAAATTGTAATTATCAAAGCTTATAATTTGGTTAATTCTTCGCTAAAATTTTCTCATTTATATTTTCCGTTCGTCTTTGCATATTTTTTTCATAACATGTTCTATGAAACTTTGCATCTAAATTTAGCAAATGTTTATCGAATCAAAATAGTTAATGCGCCTTTACACAGCCAATTGTAAAAAAACAAGAGCTCACTAGTTCTAATTAATGCGTTAAACCTTAGACCTTCAATATTATTAGGATTCTTGTTAACCTTTTGACTCCATTTTGCTCGCTTAATTATAGTCACAATCACATTTAATGTAGCATAACCTATTATGTAATAAAAACACCATATTTGTTTTATTTTATTTTATTGATCTACAATTTATGCTTTTGATTAGAACCTAAATTGTAATCATAAATCCTTGCTGTTCAAACGAAATAAATTTGAATATAAATTTATATGCTGGAAAATGAGAAATAAGTGATAAAAAAAACTTTTAATTTAAGCCTAATTTATGAATTATGACATTGTCGTCCAACCATTTTACAATTTTTTCACAAAATTTTGTTATAATATTAAATTATAATTAAAATACTTATGAAATAACCACAGATTGTATTTTATAATTAAAAATATCCCGACATAAATTTACAGGAAAAAGAAATTTGCAATTTTAATCAAAAAACCCCAACATCAACCAAAAACAAGAAAAAATTAGCTTCGAAAATATTTCATAATAAAATTTCTCATGTTCATGATGATGAAAAATCATGATCATAAACATAAAAATAATTGCAATTTAGTTCTAAAATGTCACTTCAATTTGCTTTATTAAGTATCCCTAACTGGTTATTTGTTATAGAGTGCCATCATTATTGTTTATCAACGCGAAATATTAAAATTTTCTCTTTTCCTTTTTGTCAGAATAGAACCGTTGAAGTGGTTTTATATCAAATTATTTAGGTACCAAAAGTGTATTCTTCATTCTTGTGAATTTCTCATTCCCGCCGCCCCCCCCCCCTCCCTTTCTTATTTTCCTCTCATATTTTGATTATTCATTACTATGCTTTACATTCTGTAAAACTATTACTTTGCGATTTCAAAAAAAAAAAAGGATAAAAAATTTGTCATAGTTTGAGTTACAAAAGGCACTACTCTATATATACATAAAACATAAAGCTTGAAAATAAAAATGAAAAATTAGTTTTTTAGTTGAATCATGAATTCTATTTAAAATTCCTTCTATAATAACAGAATCAGCAGTAGCAATAGCTGTAGCAATAATGGCAGCTTATACCGAATATCTTTGCATCAAAAAGAATACAATATTATTATACACACATAGTAAAATGAAAACTTGTGAAGTGTTAATTTTAAGTGGCCTTAAGCAATATCATTTTTTTTTTCTTTCCTATATTTTACAAATAAACCACAAGCGTTGAATAGAAAAATTTGTTAAAAAAAAACAACAAAAAACCAAACAAAAATTAAAAAACAAAATTCTTCTCACTCATTCTTTTAAAAAATTTTCGAGTCCTTGACATTTTTTTAAAAAGAATTTTTTATATACTTCTATGTTAGTGATTTAAGATAGTTAGTAATAAAGATGATGATAGTGACGACAATATTAGTGATGATAACGATGATGTAATCATAGAATATTTTCATTTTCCAGTTTAAAGCCTAAGATTTTCATTTTGGTTTTTTTTCTATTTTATTTTATTTCTTTAGTAATGTTGTGTAAAGTGGAAATGTACTTGGAGTTTTTGTCATACAAGTTCGTCCAGTTGGTAATTAATGTTCTTAACTAGTTTGGAATATGTTTTGAAAATTAATCTGAAGGAAATAGGAGAAATCACCTTGTAATAAACACATGAATTTACTACATGATCGTAAACACAGGCTTGTCCCCAAAGCTTTATTTCATAAAATGTCAAAACTTAATTTAACTGCATTGCGGCATGTTATCGCAAGAGTAAAAAACTTTAATAAAATAAAATTCCACTATTTTATTCTTATAATTTGTTTTACTGTTGTGACACTCTCAAAATTTTCTTATATAAAAATAGAAGGAAAACCAAAATAATATATTTTTTTACAACACCCCATTGCTTTCTGTGTCTCTCTTCAAACTTTGCAGAAGGAAATATTTTGAGAGTTTGTTGTAACAAAATTTTCTCTTGTAGTCAATTTTTGATTCTCTTCGGTTAATTCATTTTAATAAGTTCAAGCAATTTCTTGCTTACGTGGAAATTAAAATTTTCGTAAACCAACGAATTCATTTAAAAAAAAATTTTTCATTTTCTGCTCACTACTCTTTACTACTTACTTGCTTTATTTTTGTCAAAACTTCGAATTTTTCTCCTTTCCTTTATCTAATAACAATTTTTAAAGAAAAGCACAAAATAAATAAATAACATCATCGCGCCTTAAAATTCTTCATCAGATACTTATGTTGGAGTCTCGTTGATTTGCAAATTACAAACATTTTTGTAATTTGAAAGCAAAAAAAAAAAATTTAAAGATAGCAATTTAGAAAATATTTTTAACTCATTTCTCTTAACCCACATTATATTATATAAGTATAACACCTACACAGTTTATCAAATAATTTGACATTCAATTTGCATATTTTACATAAAGATTATTAACATTTTCTTTAAACAACCAACTATTTGTATAACAGTTAGTTTACTGAATTATATCGGAATCTCTCAGAGAACGTAGATAATATTAAAATATTTTATCTTAAAGATCTTTTTTATCGTGATTTATTAATTAAAATTTATTATAATAATAATTTGTTAAGTAAATATTCTTAAGAAATTAAAAAATTTTTGTTTGAAGAAAATTTTGAATTTTTTATGGTTCTTTGTTTTTTTGTTTTGTTGATTTTATTATAGTCAAAGTGATGACACCTTCAGGCACTTTATTAAGCTTAACTTTAATAAAAGTGTATAAGAAAGTTAAAATTTATTCTTAAAGGTTAAAAACATTAATAAAAAAAAATGGAAATTTTTAAGAATAATTTTGAATAAATGAAATTTTTTTGGAAAATTAATTATTTCAAATAAAAAAAATAATAAGTGAGTTGAATTTTTTGATTTTCATTTCATAAAGTTTAAGCAATACTAATTTAAAAAGTTCTAAAATTGATTGAGATTGATTGAGACATTTTCAAATGTTTATTGGCAATATTTGAAAAGTGTATACTGGTAATGCTATTAGTAAAACTAAATTTAAAATTTTTTACCAAAGTAAGAAATAAATATCTGATGATGGCCCAGATATTTAAGAGAGAAATTGAATGATTGCATAAATTATAAATTCGTAGCGCAAGTAAGTAAGCCATACAGATAGCCCTTACTTTGGTTTTCGTACCCTGATATTCCTAAAAATTTCATATTCATGAATTCATAATTATACTAAAATCCAAGGACACAAGTTAATTTATTTTTATATTACACACAAAAATCTAAACATCAAATTCCTGGCACCTGATTTATTCCAAAACTTTTGTGGTGTCTGAGGCAAGTAAGACACAGATATCTCTGTATAAATAAATTATTTACAATTTGATGCCAATATGTGACCTTCTTTATTGTATTTAATGTATCCTTGTTGCAGTCATAAAGCTTTTTAATTCTTAAGTATAAGAAATGAAACAAAAGCTTTTTAAGTGAATATGCTATTATTATCAATAATTTTGTGTTGAACTTTTCACATCTGTACTTTGATTCAGCTTACGTAATATTGCTTATTATGCTTTTCATTAAAATTAGACAACAAATTAATTTTAAAATATTACAAAATTTTGCGTATAACAATCTTAAGTATACTAATAATTTTTTAACCAGATAACCCGGTAATGCAACAGATTAATTAGTCGCAAAATTTTGTTGTTTTTTCGTTATTGATTAAATTCTCATTTGAAATAAAAATTATTTATTATTAGACATTCTTCAAATCAATTTTTACAATCAAAAATTTTACAAAACTAAACACTTTTTTAATAAAATTTTAATTTAACCCCCCTATAAATAGCGCTACTAAATACTTTTTAAATTATTTCTTCATCTAATATACAATATAAATTCTCTTTTACTCCATTCATATATCATAGTTGATGTTGAGAGAAGGCCAAAACCACTTCCAAATAAAACAACATTTGATCAACAATCAACACCGCAAGTACCAGATGGTATGGCACAATTAGCAAATAATAACAGTTCGAATAGTGTTAGTATAAATCGTGTTTTACCAATTAATTTAATATTATCATGTTTAACAATATTAAGAGTTTAAAATTCAAAATTTGTATATATATATTTATTTATTATATTAATTAATTTATTTATTTATTAAATAATAATTATAATTATTATTATAAATACAAAAAAAAAGAGAAGAAAAGAATTAAAAAACCAATAATTAGACAAATAATAAATTTGATTAAAATACGCATAAAATTTATAAAATATATATTAATTGTAATTTTATTGTAAAAAGAAAAAAACTAAAAAAAATAATAAACTATTTTTTAAGAAAGAAATAATTAAAAATATATATAAAAAAAATTAATAATAAATAAATTATGAATAATAAAATATATTAAATTGAAATTAAATTTTAGAATTAAAATTTCCGGAACGTGAACGAGAGGAATATTATATATGTATATATATATACAAATAATATTTATAATAATTAATTTTAAAACAAAATATATGAAATATAAAATTAAAAATTATTATAATAAATTATAATAATAATAATGGTAAATTAACTAAAAAATGAATGTTAAATTTATTATTGAAATACTAAAAAAAAATTTGTGTAAAAAAAATATGAAACTAAAATATTTATTAATTTAAATAAAAAATAAAGAACAATTTGTACATTTGCTTGAAATTAAATGAGAAAATAAAACTTAAAAAATATACATATATATATAATATATAAAATAATTTACATACTAAATTATAAAAATACAAAATGTTATTTTAAAAATATTTAATATTATTAAAAAATCGCCTAATCTGACAGCTAGAATTATTAATAAAAATTAAAAATAAACTAAAATTAAATTTAATTTAAAAATTAAAAAAATATATTGTAAAATAATATATTTAATAAATTATAATTATAATAATGAGATTAAAGACGAAAAAATTTTTAGTTTAATTAATTTTAATAAAACAAAAAATAAAATTAAATTTTGTATTTATGAATAATTTTTAATTTCAATAAATTTGCAAAAAATAAATATGCTAAATATGTTTTATTTGAACTAAAAATTATACAAAGACATTTTGTTTTTTTTTATTAATATAAAATTTCAGTAAAAATCAACAACAAAAAAAACAAATCTCATATATTTTAAATGCATAATATTATATGTATACTTAATTACAATATATAGACTAAAAATACAAATTATTGTTGGTAAAAAATTATGAAAAAAAAATCAAAATATATTAAAAATAAAAATACAAAAAATAGAACAATTAAAATGAATAAAAAAAAAAAAAATCAGTATTTTTAGAACATTTAAATCATATTTTGCGTATTCTACTTATAAATTTATATAAAATATTTACATATACAAATATATTCATACATATACATATAATATAATAATAATGATAATAAAAAAAAAAAATTTTAATTTATTATTTGAAAACCGATAAGACTTATAAAACAAAATATTTATTTAAGAATACAATAAAAATATGAAAAACAGAATTAGAGATTTTTTTTTAATTAAATTTTCTTTTTTTTGTAAATAGCTCTACATACTTACATATTCTTTTTTCTATTTACTTAATACTTAATTACAAAGATTATTATTATATTATAATAATTAAATTCAAATAAATTTTGTAATATTGCTTTGATTTGTTTTCGTGTTCTTAACCCTAACCTGCACTCCTCTATTTTTCTGTATTCAAATTTGGAATGTGAAATTAAATAACATTCCTTAAGGTAAAAGTCATTTACTTATAATTAGGGTATTGCATTTCCATAGTACACATTTAATTATAAAAATTATTAATTTCAGTAAATCTACAAAATATTCCAGCAGTAACTGCATTTAATCTAAATTTTTCACTGTCAAATTTTATATACAGCCTATTTGAAGCAGATTTCACAAAAGATGTTGTTTTACATTTTTTTAACAAAATTCGCAAAGTTTGATTAATATGTTAGCTCAAATTTAAGACGAAAAAATCGAATTGAAATTATGCGAAAAAATCAACCCCAATTTACCTATATTTAAGTTACTTGAAAAACACACATTAAATTTTGTTTTTGTTTTCCGATTCCAATTGACAGACAAAAATTTTGTTAATAGACAAATCAAAAATTTTAAAGTTGATAATTAAATAACCTTTTTTCAAAAAAAATTGAACGCGGCTAATAATTACAATTTCATAAGTGAAAATTTAATCAGGTTAGAGGTCTAGAATTTTAATCATTAATATAGTTTAATAATATTTCCGAAATTTAACAAATTAAGACTTATTTTTGTTAATTATTATAGAATTTATTTGAAATAACTATAAACTTACATACTTAATTATCCGACAAAATTATCAACAACAAACTTGATTAAAATGATAAAAAAATTAAATAATTACTTAAAACCTATAAAAAAAATTATACCAAGTAACAATCAAAAACAGAATTTATTAAAAACAAAAAGAAAATAAAACATAAAAATAAAATATGAAATTTTAAATCAATTATTTATATAAAATGAGATTTATTTAAAAGACAAGACATTAAAAACCACAAAATCCATTTTAAATCGTCTATATTTTTTTAGAAATATTTTACTAAAAGGCAAAAACTATAAGAAAATAAAAATACAAAACAACCTTATAAAAAACAACTGTTTCATTGCAGTAATGCAATCTTCTTTTTTCTATACTAAAAAATAATGTAAAAAAAATAAATTATTTATCTTAATTCTATTCGTCTATTTATAAATATTTTAATAATATTTAAAACTTATGTAAAAAATTTCATAAAATTATAAAAAAAAAATCATATAAAATCAGTAAAATAGCTGAAATAGGGGAAAAAACGGATCTTATTAAAAACAAAAAAACATAACTATATTTTACCTATTTTTAAAAATATATAATTTAGTACAAATGTACTAAAAAAATTAGTACTAATGTACTTTAAAAAATATTAAGTACTAATGTACTAAAAATTTTAGTACTAAATTTTATAATCACAAATACAAGCATGTCTTTCAGGACGTTTTAATGTTACTTAATTTTTTAAAATATATTTTTCAAATTTAAATACATTTTGGTAGCTCTTGTGCAACGATTTGCATTAAAAAACTTGATAAAACAGTGAAACGATATTTTGATAACATATTACAGTTATTTCAACATATGGGACTATTTTCATAGTCTATAAACCATGAAATCATTATTCCCCCCTCCCGCTCCTACTTTTTTTATTTTTTAAGTACAAAGTATTGTCTCATTTTTACGTGTATACATAATTGTACAACTGTTATATAAGCAAAAAAAACTGTTTTACCCATATATTTGTGTGTAAAACTTTGCACGTATACAAATAAATTTTATTTGTAAATTATTATGCTTTTAAAATCACATAAATTTCAAGTAAAAAAATTTATGGTCTTTGTTTTCTTGCGTTGAAAAATTTTAAAAAAGTGTTATACTATGCCATTTTAATTTGTATGATAACCAAAATCAAAAAAGGTTAGTGCGACGATATGGCCCACCTTATCAAGAAAAAAAAATATGAAAATTTTAAATAAAAATTAACTGTATATTAATTTTTTATGTATCTACAATGTATATATAAAAATATTTTATGTTAAAATGAATTTTAAATTAAATAATTTATACAATATTATTAAAACAAAATTATTATTTGGTTACTATTTGAGAAGGACTTATTTTTATTAATTTCAATTTTATTTCTTTTACAAAATTATGAGGGCGTGTTTATATAATTATTATAATCATTCTTTTATAATGACATATACAGAGCCTTTGGTGTACTTTTGGTATTGGACTGCTACTACATTTTATACGCAATACATATGTACATTATATTTAACCACGATTAAGAAGCCCGTAGGTAAATGGAATCATTACTTTTCTAAATTTTTTTAACATTTATTAATTTACTCTACTTATACAATCATGTATTTTTATTACTAAACCTCCTTAAAATGACAATATTAGAATCAACATATACAATTTATGTAAAACATAAAAGTTTGAATTTAAAATATTAATTTTAATATTAACATTTTGAGATTTATTATAAAGGTAGCTATTACTTTTTTTACTCACCTACTGAGAGAATTTTCAATCAATATCATATGCCAGTACTACTCTTCTATATTAATACCCTTGAATATTTAATAATAGAGAGAGAAATGGAAATGAGAGTATTTTTTAAAAATATACAAATTTCGATTGCTCTATTCATTTTAAAGAGATAATAACTTTGAGTTGTGACAAGCTAAACAATATTTTTTTAATTTTTCTCCAAATGATAATTGGAGAAAAACTTTGTATATTGTTTACAGTAAATCAATTGAGAAATTGAGATTGAGAGTTCTTTTAAAAACTTGCATTTTATTCTCAGCCGTTGAGTAAGAAGGTAATTAATTTCTTCACTACAATTGTCAATATTTTTGTTTTTGTATTTGTCAAATTCTTAGTTATTAATTAAAATCTAGATTAATTTAAATTAAAATCTCATTGTATAATAATTTTTATTTGAATGTATAAATGGTCATAATAATTAATTAATTGAAAAAAAAAATATTTAAAAAAAAAAAAATAAAAAAAAATAAAATCGAAAAAATGTCTAGCGTGTAATGAAAAAAAAATTAGATGAAAGTCAATGTAAAAATTAGATAGGAATTAAAAAAAAATAAAAAATAAAAAGAAAATAAAATTATTTAAGTTTTTTTTATAAAATTAATTGTATAACATATATAATTTTTTAATATTATAATAATAATTAATAAATTGTTTATAATGAAAATTCTATTTAAAATTTTTTTTAAATTTTTTAAATTATAAATTTTACGAAAAATTCTACATCTATATATACGCGTTAATCTTATTGTCTATATTTAATTTTTAATTTATATTAAAAACAATACAATTGATTTGATTTCATTTTATATGTACGAGTATAACAAAAAAAAAAATACCAAAATAATATTTTCCAAAATATAATTATTAAGTTTTAAACAAATAATTAATTTGTAATAATATTTATATAAGAAAAGAATATATGAAAATTATGAAAAATGCAAAATATACAAAAAAAAAAAAACAAACAAAAAATATAAAAAATTAAAAAAATATTAATAAAATAATTGAATCAGCTTTAAATGTGGTTTGTAAGATTTAGAAATTTAAAGACAAAA